GTAAATTGTATTCTTGCTGTGTTCTGTCAAAGCACTTTGTAAACCATGTTTTTAAAAAGTGCTATACAAATAAAGTTATTCTTATTCTTATTCTTATTATTTTAATCCATTTAGACAGGAAGTAGTAAGGTAAACACTATGGGTTTTGTTTGTTTTGTGATATTGTACCAATTCTCAAAAACGCTGTAGCCTATTGATTTTTGTGTTTAAACCCTCAACATCTAGATATCAGTGCTGTTAATGTGTACTGAGGGATCTGATGTTAATGTTACAGGGGCTGTGATGGATACAAAGGCAGATCCCACTGTTCTGGTTGCATAAAAATTAAAAAAAATTTACTCAGATGCACACATTTATGATAAATAATAAATTAATTTATGGATATGGTGGTGGGTTCTTTATACTTTTGTTTTGGAGCACCGGTATAGATTTCCTAAAATAAGTTTTAAGAAATCTATATTGAATTGTAAAGCCTCTATCTTGATACTAACTCTTAAAACCAGATTCACAGAATACACAGCCACACAGATGTTATTAATGATACTTATTGAGGTTCCACTCCATTCGGGTCAAACCGTTTCAGGGTGCTACTAAAGTGCATGTTGACTCACTGGAAAGGTTCTGCTACAATAAATGGAACAGAGCCTTAATTAGTATCATTAGTAACACCTGTGTTAACCTTACTATTTCATGTCAGAATGGCCACAGTGAAAAAGGTCCATTGTCCACATATTGAGACGATATTCCACATATTGATTGGCTCTAGTTTTCACAAGTCAAACCGCTGCAGGACAGACGCTATTCTGAGATCTGATATTTATCTGGTGGTTGTGATGAAAGCAGGGCAGGCTGTCATCATGGGGGTGTGTTTGATGTTAATCAAACTGCACCCATGTAGGTCAAGTGCAGGTTAATCTGTCTCTTTACTAGCCACGCCCATCGTGGAAAATTGCTGGTCACCACAAAGTCACAAATTATGCAGATTTAATATGATGTAAACTACCACAAGGAAAGACTGGGAAACTAGTCTTAACTGGGTGAAACCGGTGGAAGGCCACTACCGCAGACTGTTGCACAATAACAACTGTGAAACTGCAGCTTGCTTTTACGCCTGCTGTAGCGTCGAAGTTGGGAAAGTCCTTTGCATGCTAAGGCCTAACCTGTGACCTGAATGGTTTATTGTGTGCTACTGAATTGAAGATCTTATGAGCTAAAGGGGAACAGAGATAGTTAGATAGTTAGACATATCAAAGCATTGGTAATGTGTCCCACATTGTCCCACACAAACATACTCTTTGTCCCGTATCTGGTTTGTGGGATCTGGTCACCCTTTGGCCTTTAGGTGTCTGGGCAGTTACCCATTTTGCCGGGTTAGTAGTCTGGGAATAATTAAACTGGCAATGTTTGAAAAATATAAACATTAGATACGTACTGCATAGACGTAGTGATGGACATTCACATCAACCACATTTCACAGTCTTCATCAGCAAGAGCTGGTTCAGGTGTCACATGATGTCACTTATGTTCAGAGATCAGAGTGAGGGATGGTCTTTGGCCACTCGTTTATGTCAGTGGGCCCTCCTACACAAAGTTGTGAGTAAGGAGGAATGTAAGACACGGCTTACTCAGCAGGGACCACCAGAAGCATTCCGTGGAGTCCATCCCCATTCACACATATGCATATAACACATAACTAAAGTTTCACACTTAGATCACATGATGACACCTGAGCTGGCTTTAATTTGCTGAAGAATACAGTGAGATGCAGTGGACCTTTGAGCCTGGATTGCTTTGTTACATATAGTGACATGTTTTGTAGTTTGTTGTGGGATACAACACACAGCAGTGTTCACACCAGGCGTATTTCTATGTAAATTTTACAAAACAACTTAATTACTAACACAAGACTCCTAAGGTTCTGGTTTTGAGAACATCCTGGTGGTGCCCTTACATAGACTACAGTACAGTTATGACCTGGGGCCCCCTAGTGGGTCAAAAAGGCCATATTCCTGAGACCGATAATGTGTGTGGGAAAACATGTGGTAACAAGTTCAAGGCAGTGAAAACCACAGAAGAAAGATCAGAGGCTTTCATGTCTCTTACAAGATAAAAAAAAGTAGTTTGTGGCATTAAATATTTTTCAAATGGAGATTACACACACATACCAGTCAGGGTGGCGACTGCAGAGCTAGGCTGTTTTTTAGTTTTTGTTGTTGGTTGTTGCTGTTTTATAGTTTAGAGTCTAAAGGTCTGTTATGGTACTTCACATGAGATGAAGTCCAAGTTAGTCTCTGTAATGAGAATGAATGTGTGACCCTGTTTTATATCATGTAAACTCTCCTTCTCTCCCTCTCTCCTTCAGCAGCTGAATGAGCAATGTACTTCTATCCTTGCACATATTTGCTCCCATAGAAAGATATTGGTATCGCAGTTATAAGATTAGAAATCATCTATTTTCATTTTGTTGTGCTAGCGTTCAAAGGGTTCACATGTAGCTTATTGATTTCTATAGATTTTCACTCAAAAATGTATTAAATATTACCATAGTTGCATAATAATCCATCCATGCGATTGTTAAATCCAGGTTATAAAACAGACATATCATGCTCAGTGTTGGCTGGGGTATTTTGAAAATCCCAAAAGCTATTATTTTTCTGTCAGCAGCTCAGGGATTACCCAATTACATATGATAGAGCTGTCCAGTTTCCAGGGAAACATCCTTGTTACTGATCCCACGAGACGAGACGAGGACACGCTGCAGTGTGGGGAGTCTGGCACTAAGTGAACAGTAATTATTGGATAGAGAAATCCCTCCAGTATTGTAGCTTAGTGCGTCAAATAACCACCAAGAATAGCATGTCACACACTCCTCCATGCTATGGAGCTTTTAGGCTAGAAATTAATCTTACAAAACTTTATATTCATATACCTGTGTCTTATCTATATTTGTACATTAAATTATACTAAAATGTGAATGTCACATTGTTTTTAACCACTGTCAGGGATTTTCAATCAACAAGTACATTCTGAACCATATTCATTGTGGATTAACTATGTCTAGGGGTGAAATGCAGTCTGTAAGCTACCTGGAAAACTAGTCCAATAATCTAACCATTGATTCACTAGCCTTTTTTATCACCTCTGGGCACTGATTCAGCATTGTCAGTATGAAAGTACTACTTTACAGAGTAGATTACTTCCTTAAATGAGCATGCATGCTGACGCAAGTGCCTACACACCCTCCAACTCATTGCTGTCATTCTTTGAGTTCTGCTTGATCTCACCTCTAGATACAAAAAAACACAAAGGAAAAGCAGACATACGCAAATAAGAGCTCAGAATCAAGTTCAAAAATCTAAATTTGTTATGTTACACTCCCACAGCTGAGCAGTCTGTGTCATAGAAACTTAACATTATGGAATACATTCATTGTGTCAGATGCACTCACTGTGTTGACAGTCATGCCAGTAAAACAAATATGTCAAGAAGAGATGTCATTTGATTGTCAGTAAATGTATAATTTGGTGTCTTTGTAAGCGCACTACTGAGTAACTATCACTCTGTCACTCAGACAGACACTCTGCCATAGGGGGAAGACACTGAAGTATTCATGCTTTCTTAAGGCTTTAATATCCTCTCTCGACAAAAGAAAGGTATCAGTGGATGGATTTCTGTGAATATGGATCCGAGCCAAACTGAGCTCTTGTCGTCGTGGCACGGAGGCAAACTCGGCTCTTTCATCATCACTGTGCTCACAATTACACCTAGGCAGGGATCTCTGTCTGCCTCCCTCCCTGCTATCCTCATACACTCATCATTTTCTCCTTTCGTCTTCCACCCCTTCGCCTCGCTCTCACTTTCCTCCTCTCTTTCTATCAGGCGTACGCTGCCTGGTTCCTCCCCTGGGTTGCAGCACCGACGCAGGTTGGCGTCATAGTGGTCTAATTTTACTGCTGTTGATGCTGATGTTAAAAGAAGCAATAGGCACCTGCTATTTCTGCTGCTACCCCATCTCCCTGGGGCTGGCAACGAGGTATTAATAGACAGAGTTATTAGGCGCTGCATGGTTGCACATAGAGGCTTTATTGAGGAAAAAGAGGCTCTGCTTAAGTGCAAAGGAAAACAAACAGGTACTCAGAATACAGCGGTTATACAACAGCACAGTGCTAACAAAACAAGAGCTTTGGTGTTTCAATCCAAGCATTTTAACGAAACCAAGGAAGTTGCATTGTACTTCTGCAACCTTTATTCTTTAAACTATATCAAATATTTGGCCCTTTTTATTTGTTTCAGGTTGCCATTGGAGGAGCAGGTCCATATCCATACAGGAAGTGACAATACAGGAGTAACAACTGCTGATATCTTGGCCGTGTTGCACAAAAGGGTGTGTCCACACAAGGGCTCAAACGTCAGAGTAAGTTCATTGTGTGATGGTAGTCTTCCACCCAGCACGTCCCTCACACGCGCACACACACACACACACACAACACGCATTTCCTGTGCAAAGCCATTAGGCAATCTGCCTTCCGATTATTCTTTACATGGTGAAATATTGATAAAGGGTGAAATGAGCAAGCGAGGTAAAAGAATGACAAGTAGAAGGGAGCGGTAGGAAAAGTTTGATGACAAACTGTAACAATAAGAAGTTTGAATCACCTAGTTTCATTGAAATTCAATTGTGTTCCTAATGAATTTACTGTCTTTATGTTTAGAAAATGGCCTTTTGAACAACAACTTTATGTTTAGGAAAAGCTGGAAGACACAGGATTGCATTATTTTATACAGAGCCAGACAGATGTATGTAACTCCCAGCCCTGAGAGTGCCTTACATGTACCTGGGCCATGAAGCTATGGGTTTAAATAAAGAAATCAAATGTCTTCAACTTAATGAAAACTACAT